TCAAATTTTCTTTCAAACAAGAAGTGGCATTTTCCAATTCTCCAGAAGTTCCAATTATGTTCAAATCATCTACGTAAACAGCAATTATCACAAATTCTGATCCGGATCTTTTTATGAATACACATGGGCTTAATGGATCATTTTTATAGCCCTCTTTTAAAAGAAATGTACTTAAACAATTGAACCACATCCGGCCAGATTGTTTCAATCCATACAAAGATTTATTTAATTTTACCGAATATACTTCACGAGAATTAGGAGTTTGTGCTTCTGGCACCTTAAACCCTTCTGGGATTTTCATATAAATATCATTCTCAAGTGAACCATATAAATAGGCGGTAACTACATCCATCAGACGCATCTCCAATTTTTCATGTGTTGCCAGGCTTATTAGATAACGGAATGTAATCGCATCAACCACAGGAGAGTATGTTTCTTCATAATCAATTCCGGGCCTTTGGGTAAAACCTTGTGCAACAAGTCTTGCTTTATATCTCACAACTTCATTCTTCTCATTTCTTTTGCGCACAAATACCCATTTGTATCCCACTGGTCTTACTCCATTTGGTGTACGAACTACAGGTCCAAAAACTTTTCGTTGAGTAAGAGAATTAAGCTCTTTGTTTATTGCATCTTTCCATTTTGGCCAATCTTTTCTATTTCTACATTCATCTATAGATTTTGGTTCAACATCCTCATTTTCTTCCATAATCTCGCACGCAACATGATATGAAAAATTATCGTCGACGTCTATCTTATTTCGGTTCCATCTTATTCCTGTCATGACATAATTTATTGAGATCTCTTCATTTTCATAATTTTTAGGTACCTCAATTTCTTTTGTTATGTCATTGGGCTCTTCTGGAGCTTCATTACTCTTTTCAAAAGAGTATGTTTTCTCTTTTGGACCATCAATTATATTTGCTCCCTTTCGTTTTCGAGGATTTTTATCTTTGGAACCGGTTGGTCTTCCACGCTTCAGGCGTGCCTTTGATTCATTTGTAGTTGTATTTTTTCCTTCTGGGATATCAATTCTAACTGGAGCATTTACAGCTGGTAAATGAGACTTTGTTACTCTCTTAGGGTCAGTAAATGCATCTGGCAATTGATTTGCTATATTTTGTAAATGAATTATCTTTTTCACTTCAAGTTCACATTGACTTGAACGAGGATCTAACACTGAAAGTGATAATTCATTCCAAGAGATTTTATTCTCCATCTTCTTTATTTCTCCCCCTAATGTTGGAAAAACTGATTCATCAAAATGACAATCGTCAAATCTAGCTGTAAATAAATCTCCAGTTGATGGTTCTAAATATTTTACTATAGATGGAGATTCGTATCCAACATAAATTCCCATTCTTCTTTGAGGACCCATTTTCGTGCGGTGAGGTGGAGAAATGGGTACATAAATTGCACATCCGAACGTCCTTAGATGGGAAATATTTGGTACATGGCCGCAAACCAGTTGAATAGGGGAGAACTTATGATAACTAGTTGGCCTGATGCGTATAAGTGATGCGCATGTAAAATTGCATGTCCCCATGTCGATGTAGGAAGTTTAGAATGCATTAGTAATGGTCTTGCAATTAATTGAAGGCGTTTGATTAACGACTCAGCTAAACCATTTTGTGTATGAACATATGCAACAGGATGTTCAATAGTTATCCCAATCGACATGCAATAGTCATTAAAAGCTTGTGATGTAAATTCCCCAGCATTGTCAAGTCGAATTTTCTTAATTGGGTAATCGGGAAAATGTGCCCTTAGGCGGATTATTTGTGCTAGTAATCTTGCGAAAGCGAGATTACGGCTAGATAATAAGCACACATGTGACCATCTAGTTGACGCGTCAATTAAGACCATAAAATATCTAAATGGTCCACATGGTGGATGAATTGGTCCACATATATCCCCTTGAATTCTTTCTAAAAAACTAGGACTTTCATACCCAACTTTATTCAATGATGGACGGGAAATTAATTTTCCTTGAGAACATGCAACACAAGACAATTCATTAGCTTGAAAAATCTTCTGGTTTTTCAAGGAATGTCCACTTGAACTTTCAATTATTTTGCGCATCATAACTGATCCGGGATGGCCCAACCGGTCATGCCAAACTTTGTAGATGTTATCATACCTTTTATTTTCAATAGCATGAGATTCAATCATTCTAATATTTGTATAATACAATCCGGAGGACAATACGGGTAATTTTTCCAAAAGACTTTTCTTACCCGATATCATTTTCGTAATATTGAGATACTCTTCATCACCATCATTGGTTGTTTCAACATGATATCCGTTGGACCGAATATCCTTAAAACTTAATAAATTTCTTGGTGATTTTGATGAAAATAATGCATCTCCAATTATAATTATTGTCCCTTGTGGTAATATGATATTCGCTCTTCCGGAGCCTTCAATCATTTTTGCACTACCCGTTATTGTATTAACATTTGCTTCTCCAATTGATAAGTAAGCAAAATATTTTTTATTATTAAAAATGCTATGTGTTGTTGCACTATCTGCAAGACATATATCTTCCTCATTTCTTTTGCGAATATCCATATTTCTCTTCAAAATAAAAATATATAATAAAATAATAAGAAATAAGAAATAGTCAACTTAGATAAATAAAGTCATATATTATTATTTTGAGAAGAATCATCAAGATCTCTTCTGATGAAACGACTATAACATAAAAATCATAAACGACATTAAACAAAACTACATATTATTCTTGACCATGACAATGACTTTAAACAAACATAATGCAAAAATAAAATGATACTAGAAAACCAACAATTTCATGATATGCCATATCCATCTCATTTTATGGGAAAAATTGGGTACTTCCATCACCATTCATAACACCGTTTGTCCCTTCCGTGTTGGCAAGATAATCGGCGACATCCAAATGTCTCATTTCTAGTTGATCTTCGGAAAAATAATTTTGAACAAAGTTTGTTTCCGCATTTTTTCCTTCTTTATATTTTAGAGAAGCTTGATAAAGATCAACAAAATGCTTTGGAGTGCGACATGTACGTGACCAATGACCGGTCATTCCACATCGGTGACAAACATTTTCAACTTTCTTCTTGCCTTGACCACTTTTATCATTAGGATGTGGGTTTTTGTTATTTTCCCACTTCTGGTGGTTACTTATATTATTATTATTATTATTGTTGGGACGATTATTATGACGGCCTCCACCACGTCCACGACCTCGACCACGACCACGGCTACGACCACGGTTAGACCCACGACCGTTATAATTAGATGATGTCGCATTCACTTCAGGGAATGGACTAGAACCGGTCGGACGTGATTGGTGATTTTTCATTAAGAGCTCATTATTTTGTTCAGCCACAAGAAGACATGAGATTAATTCACAATATTTTTTAAAACCTTTCTCACGATATTGCTGCTGCAGGAGCATGTTAGTGGCATGAAAAGTAGAGAAGGTTTTCTCTAGCATGTCTTCATCAGTTATAGTCTCACCACATAGTTTTAGTTGGGAAGTAATTTTGAACATGGCCGAATTATACTCACTCACAGATTTAAAATCTTGTAGCCGAAGGTGTAACCAATCAAAACGAGCTCTAGGAAGTATCACCGTTTTTTGATGATCATACCTCTCTTTCAGATTATTCCAAAGATCAGCTGGATCTTTGACAGTGAGGTATTCAGCTTTTAATCCTTCATCGAGATGGTGGCGAAGGAAAATCATCGCCTTAGCCTTTTCTTGGCTTGATGCTTCATTTAAAGGATTTACATCCTTTATGGTGTTTCCAAGACCCATAGCATCAAGGTGGATTTCAGCATCAAGGATCCATGATAAATAATTTTTTCCACTAATGTCAAGAGCCATAAACTCAAGTTTGCTAATGTTTGCCATAGTGAAAGTACTAATCAAAACAAAGAGTTGTATATTAGAGGATTGTTAGTTAAGAAGTATCATAAGATTATTTGTGAGCATTATATAACTTGTGAGCATTATACATATGAACTTTGAAAACAAAAATTATTATATATATACCTGACAACGACAAGAACGGCAAGAAGTTAGAACTCTATGGTAGAGCCTCGTGCTGATAACTGTTATAAAATATGATCAAATAACAATATAAATTATAGAGTAAAGAAAGATATGAGAGTAGAGAGAACTTTTATTCCAATACTTGTGATGAATTCATATAGTGCCTAATACATATGGCTCACTATTTATACTATCCAAATAAGATGAAAGATGAGCTACAATATGAATGCACATTATGATGGTGTATTATTACATTCATAAAACACATTGAAATGGTTGTTACTAATGCTAAATAATGATGGAGAGAATCCAATGATCATTCACAAACTAATATTTCATAACAACAATGGCGTTTTCAATATCCATTCTATCAAAATTCAAAAGAATAACGACTAAAACGTTCAACCTTTTATTTTTAATTTTGATTTCGTATGATTTATTAAAATTTTAAAAACTGCTAATCGGTGATCTCAATTCTTAGCCATAAGTTAAGGGTGCAATTTTATCTACCTTTCTTCACTCGAACAAAAAGTCAAACACATACTACTCACTTAGATAAAAGAATATAACTAGGGACATGGATAAAATCACCCATGTTTTACACTTTTATTCTTTTTTTTTTTAGTATTTAATTTTACACATGATATCGTATTAAATCTATGTAATACTAAATCTTCCTTTTCGTAAGTTTAAGATCTTCCCGAAAATAATGCATGTTTCCAGATAATAAAAATAAAAGATCACGTCATCGATCATCCATTGTGCCTAAAAAGGTTTTATAATTGTTAATCACATTTTGTACGGTTTAAACATTTAAAGAAAGAAAAATCTAAAACCATTGTATTTCGTTTATTGCATGTGAAGGTTATTGCCCTCCAATAAAATCCAAACCATTTTTATTTGTTCATCGATAATAGTTATAAACTTTAAGTACTTAAAATTAAGGGATTTATTATAATATAGTTATAATCTAGTTTTTTAATATGTTCAACCTACTTATCATATTCACCTAGAAATTAAAAAGATGAGCTTAAACTGAAGCTCATCTCAGCTTGTTTTAAAAGAGTTGGAAAATTAATTGCATTTTTTGATTTTGAATTTGGTTGTGTCGAGCTGAGTCATGCCCACAAGACTTGAATATTTACCCCTGAACTTCCATTAAATTACGTTTACACCCTCACCTCCTCACGTATATACCCCCACCTCCACCTCGATTCTACCACTTCTTTTTTCCCCTTTTCTTTTGTGCGTGTTGGTTCGTTTCCGCGGTGGTGCTGCTCCTCCAAACCTCGTTGAAGGCGGAGGCGGAGGAGGATACATACTCTAGATAAACATAAGGAATTGAAAGATACAGAGCCCATGGGATTCCGATGAAGAAACAAGTGTATAAACAATAACGATAAAATACAAAGCCTACTGTTCAATTCATCTTTTACTTTCTTCTTTTTCATTCCACATTTTAATATTTTGATTTTACTTTTGCTTGCTTTGTGTATGCATCATTGCATTGCATCGGATGATTATCGGAAGATGATTGTTGACGCTAACATGTAATTATCCCCAACGTAGTTGTATTCATCGCCGACCACCTATCATTTCATATCATTCATCTCGGCTCCAATACTTTACATAACCAAGTCAATTCAGATCCTTCCTTGAACCTTTTTCCATCATCAATTTCACTACACTTTGCTTCAAACTGGATGCCGATCTAATCCTTTATTGCCTTCCCTTGTATTTATTCATCTCTCTGGATGTTCTATGTGTAATCATCTCCGTTTTCGTGGAATCGATTTTGATTGCAGCTACATTTGTTTATATTCATCGCCCCTTTGACTTTAAATGTCTTTCTCTTCTTCATTATTACTTTAATACCATCGCCGCGTGATCTATAGATTTTGATTTCACCGTATTGTCAACATGTAGGCTGGAAAAAATTAATGATGCCTTTGTTTAATTTCAGGCATGGACATTGGTTAGGCTGCACCCTTTGAGTACGGATGCATATCCATTTTGTACGTAAAGGTCTTGACATATCAATCCGTGTTTCAGAACCATCATGAGCTCAGCAGAGAAGAGAAAGGGATTCGTTGATTAATTGCAGAGGCTAGGTTTTGCTTTTGGTTTAATGTTTTGATCGAACAACTAATACTCATAGGATAGTTACTTAGGTTGTATACAATAGTTTGATTGAAGAACAAGGTATACAGCCCCCAAATAAGAGGAAGAGATTGCTCAGAATAACTTGCTAGATACTATGGGATTACCACAAGATCCTTACATTGGAACTTCTGAGGTTGCATGGATATCAAGCACCTTGGAGCACAATTTTCCTGTAATTGATGAGGAGACTTGTAACTTGAATGAGATGAAAGCAGAAAATACAAGAAGAGAAAGCGTTGGATGTTCCCTTGATTCTTTATTTGGTGATCGTGTTGTTAAAACCTCATTGGACAAATTTCAATTTCCAGATGTTGTAAGTAAAGAGTCTACTGATGTCAAAGGGACAAGAATTGGTTCAAAGAATAAGCTTGATTTGTCAACACCCAAATCTGCACAAACTGTTACAACTTCATTTTCAAGAATTGTGGGGTTTGAATCTGGTAAAAAGGATTCATCCTCAGATGCACTTGATGGAGCTTCAACCAGACAGGTATATGAAAAAGTAACTGTTGTGCCTATGGCCAGGAAAAGGATGTTGTCACCACTGAACAATATGCTTTCTTCTCAACCATCTGACAACGATCATATAGATATAGCCTCCTGCAACAATCACCAAGTTTCTGGTAATCCTAAAGCTGATGATCCCAAGATCAAGCTTTACAAGAAAGCAAATACCTCTAATCTTGTGTGGCCTGTATCCGATGGGCCAGTTCTTGATGCAAATGAAGTGTCATTCTTTCCACCTGGATTTAAGGATTTTAAAGACTCAAGCAAGCAAAGATTGCAGACCAGACCTATCCCAATATCCACAGATAAGTTGACCTTGTTGACCTGTTCTTCTTCATCTCCCCTTGGTCCAAGATCTTCCAATGAAAGAAAACATTCATCATCCAATAATGTGGAGAATCCAGATGGAGAAACAATAATCTCAGGTACCATATTTGCATCAAGCGAAGTGGATTATAGGATGCCAAGCAATTCACTTGAAGAAATCAGTTATTTATGTGAGGAAATCGGGTCATCATGTTCTCCTAAAAGTTACACAGGAAAGAGCTGGCCTTTCCACAAACACAAAGATTTAGGATTTCAGAAGTTAAGGCAAAAATCAAGGGGTCTTCCTGTTAGGAGATCATTAGTTGGTTCTTTTGAAGAATCACTGTTATCTGGCCGACTCTCATCAGGAGACATCAACAAGGTTAGGATCATTTCTTCTCTTACAAAATAGGTAGTTTCTTTCATTCAGTTAGGGTTTATCTTTAACACATTCTGCACATCACATTCATGTGCAGAAAATCGATGGTTTTCTAGCTGTTCTAAGTGTAAATGGGGGAAACTTCTCACCAAAAGCACGCAAACTTCCCTTTGCAGTTAACAGTATTGATGGAGATAGTTACTTACTGTACCATGCTTCAATAGATCTTGCAGGAAACAACTTATCAAGTAGCATTCTTCACAATGATGATTCTCAAAATGCTAAAAGCCGTTTGCGCATTCCAATGAAAGGTTGCATACAACTGGTATATGATATGATATGTTTTTTAAATTTTAATTCAATTCGCAATTATACTTGTATGGATGAATAAATGTATGATTGGATTCGACTCTTGCAGGTTTTAAGCAATCCAGAGAAGACACCTCTTCATACTTTCTTCTGTAATTATGATTTGAGCGACATGCCAGCTGGCACAAAGGCAAGTTATTATATCTATTAATAACATGAAATTTAAATTCAAAATGGAATGGACTTTATGAAATTTATTTTGTGGATTTGAAAATGTAGACATTCCTACGACATAAGGTCACCCTTGCAACTTCCAGACAGGGGACCGAAGGGTGCAATGGTGATGGTTGCCAGGTTGATGGTGACATGGCGTCCGGTGTATGTTCTTCAAGGGTGAATGGAAATGATGCCATTGTTGGTGCTTTACGCTATGCTCTTCATCTTCGTTTTCTATGTCCTCATAGAAAATGCTCAAGATATGAAAAGAATAAGTTAGATAATGATCATTTGGAGCGTAAGCTTTTCTTGTGCAGTGATTTGAAGGTGGTGTTCCCACAACGCCATTCAGACGATGATGAAGGGAAGGTATGTATGTTCATATTGTCTGTATGATTCTCATTGTTACTTGGGTGTAAATCAAGAAATAATGTGGATTTATTGGTTGTTGTTAATGACAGTTAATTGTGGAATATCATTTTCCGGAAGATCCAAAGTACTTTGATATTGGGTGATGACACGGTATATGTTGTTGTGTAGGTTTGTTTTTATAGAGGATATATGTACATGGGGTTGGTGAATTTTGATATATATATATATATATATATATATATATATATATATATATATATATATATATATATATATATATGTTGATTACTTATGATGTGGTTGTCTCATTTGTGATGTAGGTGAGGCGCCATATAATATATTATACATATATACATATATATAGGAGTTAGAAAATAAATGTGAAAGACTATTTCTATATGCTATTTACCAGTAGATAGATATATATGGTAAATTAGAAATATGATTCCTCTGATATTTGGTTTACTTTAATGTAAAAGCATTTGTGTTTCTGTTTTATGATGTTGAGTTTAGACATTGCAATTCATGTAGAATGTTGTTTTTCACATAGTAATGTAAAAAAGAGGTATGGGAAGGTAAATCGTATTTACATGGGAACTACATAGAATATGTATGGTAAGTGCATGCTAGTTGATGGTTAGATTGAGCCTATATTGTTATGAATAGGTTAGTAGGTTTGGAAAGGAAATGGATAAAAAGAGTTCACTCACTTTTAGAATGATTGGTATGGGGTGAAAATGGCCATGTAAATCGTGTCAATGTAGCATGAAGTGGGTTGTACTATTGAAAATGGTATTGTCTTGAAGGGGATATGATACGGCTATATCATTGATTGTATGGTTGTGCAAACTATAGTACGCTTATATGTGATGCGTACAATTTGTAATATACCTATATAGCCCATACAAGAGTAATGTAACTCCGGTTTGTGTCAAAACATGGTACAAGACTGATACGACTCACCGATTAGGTCAACATTATCAACTAATTAGTAATTATTTAATTATTTATTCAAATTAGGTAGTAACCATCTTTATTTAAAATTAGGATATCTATTAGTATCTTTTAAATTAGGATAAGATTATCTAGTAACACTTAAGACTGGTACGGGGATGGAATAAGAATTATTGTTTTAGTCTGTTTTGGGAGAATTTGTGTGTCTCGAATAACATTTCTTATCAATTGGTAATAGAGAAATGATTCTAGCAAAATTATTGTCCGTCGGGGTACTATTCTCGGAAATACTGTTCACAACGTTCACTGTTCATCGGAAAATAATGTTCACATCAACAATATTCACATGTTATTGTTCATCATTTTTAATTTTTAGGGTATCGAAATAGTGAACAACAGTGATCGAATCACTCGGCTGGAGACAGACTTAGCTAAACTCTGTCAGAATCTGAAAGAATATCGGGAGGCTAATTCACAGCGGTTCCACCAGGGGATAGAAAGCTATCACTGACTTGTCAGTCAAGTTAGGAGTTAAGATAGGAAGCTTGAGCAACAAGGAAGAGGAAAAGAATAAGGATTCCAGCCGATTCCAATCAGGATCCTTCGACTTGATGAAGAAGGCAAGGCATCCAGGAATGAGAAGAGTAAGGGAAAGGAAGGAGAATAAGATGGAAACAAGGGCAAATCTAGAAGTGATTTCCAACATGTCGACTTTCAGAAGATCGAGATGCCCATATTCGATAGGGAAGACTCCCATGGTTGGATCGACTGAGTGGAACGCTACTATGAGATGCAAGATATTAAAGGCACGAAACAACTCAAGACGACCTCCTTATGCATGGAGGGATTAACACTAGCGTGGTATAGATGGGATGAAATTCTGGACTTGGGGGACACTTAAACAAAGACTTTTAGCAAGATTTCAACTATCATATGAGGGGGTCTTCAAGTAGATGGTGAGGCATTTGGGCGAATTTCCAGAACAGGTGGGAGATATCACGTTGATGGGGAGTAGAGCCCATTGTATTCTTAAATACATAAATGATAAATAAATAATATAAATTATAAAAGAAATAGAGAAGAGAAAACAAAATTGTTAAGGGTCCAAGATTCATATTAAACAAATATATATATATATATATATATATATATATATATATATATATATATATATATATATATATATATATATATATATATATATATATATATATATATATATATATATATATAAGATTAGGGATATGTATGATAGCAAAGTAATATTTAAATACTTTAAGGATTAGAAATGTAGAAAATGATTTTTAATTATTGAAATAAAATAAGCATTCCATAAATAAAAATATAAGATATAAGTTACTATTTTATAACTGGATCGTGAGTGAGACATTTATAGTATATAATTAGTGATAAATTGATCTAACAAACTAAGTTAATAGATAAAAGGTAAATAATTAAAATATATTGCTATATATATATAGAATAACAAAATAATATAACTTCTCGTACACGAAGATTACTAAGCGAGATTACTAAGGGGTGTTTGGTTTATAGAATATTTTTAGGAAAATAAAATTTGTCAGAGTAATTGAAATTTGAATGATTGGAATTTGTTGTGCTTTTGTTTGATATAGAAATGTTGTTTTCTATTTGGTTTATAGATTTGTTAAAAAAAATATGAAGTAAATTATATAATACGATCAAAATACTTATTTATTAGTTTTTTATGCATTTTTTTTCTTTTTTTTAGTAAAATTGATAAAAACATTCATCTAATTAGAAACTTCATTTATTAAATTGTTACCCGCTCATACCTATGTTTTTTTTTTTGTTGAATTTCCATATAATATATAAAGCAAAAAAGATGGTTATATAGAATGAATTAGGCGAATACCCGCGCGTTGCGCAGAAACACCTATATAATTGAAATCTATACAAATATATGTTTTCTTTTTAAATATAACAATAACGTTGTTGTTACATTTGATATAATAATTTTTATACTAAATTGATATAATATATTGATTATTTTGAATTATATGATCATATATACATCTATTATAACTTCAAAATCTCAATTGTTTGAATTACTTCTACCTGCGAGTTACACATGAATAACATTAAATATAATATACGGTTTAATGTGGTTTATATTTGTTGTTATTGTTAATTAATTTTTTTTAATTTATTTGTTTAATGTTTTAATTTTTATCACTATAATTATTTAAAACATCAAACATTATTTTTTGATTTTAAATATAACAATATAATCATTTATATAGAGTTATTTTTAACAATTGTTATTGTAAATTATTTTAAACTACTTATTTGGAAACTTTTAAGGATTATAAATATACATTTAGAAAATATTTTAGTTAAATTGAGATTACAATTTAGTTTTTTTTTTTTTTTTTTTCATTTATCACTTTTAAGTATTTATAAAATATTCTTTGGTTTTTCTAGTGAAACTGAAATTTATATTTAAATTGACATTGTAATGCGCAGAAACACCTATATAGTTGAAGTCTATACAAATATATGTTTTCTTTTTAAATATAACAATAACGTTGTTGTTAAATTCGATATAATAATTTTTATACTAAATTGATATAATATATTGATTATTTTGAATTATATGATCATATATACATCTATTATAACTTCATAATCTCAATCGTTTGAATGACTTCTACGCGAGTTACACATGAATAAAACTAAATATAATTTAAGGTTAAATATTATTCTTAACTAATTTTTTAAAATTTATTTGCTTAATGTTTTAATTTCTATCATTATAATTATTTAAAACATCAAACATTATTTTTTGATTTTAAAGGTAACAATATAATCATTTATATGGACTTATTTTTAACTATTGTTATTGTAAGTTATTTTAAATTACTTATTTGAAAACTTTTAACGATTATAAAAATATGATTAAGAAATATTTTAGTTAAATTAATATTACAATTGAGTTTTTGCATTTATCACTTTTAACTATTTACAAAATATTTTTTAGTTTTTTAAGTGGAATTGAAATTTTTATTTAAGTTGATATTGTAATGTTATATTTAAGTTAACAATTTAAGTATTTTGTCCAAACTGTTCAAAAGTTGTAGCTTTAAACTGATAGTGGTTTACATATAACAACATATTAAGTCTAATAAATTAAGTATAATATGTTAAAAGTTAAACACATAACTTTATAAGTAATAGTAAATATATTATTTTAAAATTGAAATTTAGTTCATTTATGATTATACTTTAGGTTTGATATTTATTTAACCTTATTAACCAACTTATGATCATTATTAAAAAGACATAACAATTTATCATTTTTAACTATTTACAAAATATTCTTTAGGTTGTTTAAGTTAAACTAAAATTTATATTTAAATTGATCCTGTAATGTTATATTAAAATTAATAATTTAAGTATTTTATACAAATTGTTCCAAAATTGTATCTTTAAAATGATAATGGTTTACATCCAATAATATATTAAAACTAATAAATTAAGTATAATATGTTATAAGTTAAAAACATAACTTTATTAATACAAGTAAATATATTATTTTAATATTGAAATTTAGTTTATATATGATTACATTTTAGATTTAATATTTATTTAACCTAATTAACAAAATTATAATTATTATTAGATAGAAATTGAAAAATCATGGGAGTTTCAAATGAATGTGGTGAAAGAAAATATAGATGAGAGTTACAAATGAATGTGATGCAAGGAAAAATGTTTCCTTTATAAGTATATAATGATAATGATGTATATCATTGCAATTGATAGAAACAATTAATATATATATTGCTTTAGGGTTAGGTCAAGATCACTTAATTAAAAGCTCAGTGCTGATATAAAGTACGAGAATGGGTCATGGGTGTGGGGTGGGGGTGGCCGTACAAGTAAAAACACTCTGCCTGTTACCATGTCATTTACAAATCAGTTAGAAAAACTGTTGGAGATAAAAATATTTGTAACTTTTGCAATTGTCTTCATGACATACCCTTTCTTCGACACCTTACAAATTACAACACTCCCCATTTCTCAAACTGTTGTGCATTGGTATTCTGTTGTGCTGGTTTGCATCCTCATGAGTGTTCGTTAACAGAAAAATAGTACACAATATCCTGGATTTTTTAGATTAGTGGTTGCATTGTAGGTTAAATACCTCCTTTTTATCTTCATGTGTTTTGGTTTAGGCAATGCAACTGAAAGTGATGAAATGAAAAAGTAAA